TAGTCGGATGGTGTCAGATCAGGGCTATAGGAGGGGTGTGGAAAAACTTCCCACCCCATCTTTGCAATTGCTTCCAATGTGAGGCGAGTGGCGTGGGGGCGAGCGTTGTCATGCAGGATGATGATGTTTCGTCCCGGACGTTTATCACGCAATGCACGCCAGAACTTGTGCAGCGTCTGGACATAACGAGCAGCATTGATGGTTTGCCCGGGTTCCAGGAATTCGGCCAGAATTCAGCCCTCTGCATCCGAGAAGGCTGTGTTCATCACCATCGCTGCTGATGGCACTGTCTTTGCCTTCTTTTTTTGATGGAGAATGCAAATGGTGCCATTCCATACTCTGGCGTTTCGTTTCAGGCTCGAAATGGTGAAACCAGTTTTCGTCACCTGTCACAATACAGAGCAAAAAATCATCGCCTTCGTGTCGTTATCTCTGCAGCAGTTCTGAGGTGATGGCTTTTCGTTGACCTTTGTGGTATTCGGTCAATAACCACGGGAACCAATGAGCACAAACTTTCCTATAACCCAAGCTTTCGATCATCTCCTGTACTGCACTGTGTCCTATTCCAAGTTTTCGGGCTACTGTGTCCACAGTCACATGCCTGCCATCTTGAATAATCTCATCCACTCTTTCCTTGTTGCGTTCAGTTGGGGCTGTTCGAGGAGGACCGCTCCGAGGTTCACCTTCGATGCTGGTGTTCCTGTCTTTAAATTGTTTCACCCATTCAAACACTGCTCACACCCATGGACACACTTCCATAAGCACGCTGAAGTCTCTGGTGAATTTCTGCAGCAGGGATTTACTCTTACACAAGAAATTGGATGACAGCACGCTGGTGAAACAACATATGGTTGTCGGCCATTTTGTTAGGAGTGATACTGGTCACATGATGCAAGCTATTGATGTCACAAGACACTCAAGGTTAACACAACAGCTTGTTCCACCTACCACCATACTCTCTTTCATCTGCTGTTCCCAGGTTGCATGCAAAGAAAATTGCTCATGACTTTCGGTATGACCTACGTCCTCTGCACATGTATGCCATATGGCTTTGCTGGCTTGGTGGTTTGTGGCCTGTGGCTATCTTGAATGTTTTTTTTGGGGCAGAAGTTTGTTGTATGGTGGTGGGTTAGTTGCAGTATACTATTACATTGGTGCTGTTTGTAGTAAATGTGCTGTCTTTAAAAGAAATATTTCCTACAGTTCCTTTAAAAAATGTGAACCAGGAATGTGGTCTAGATGTTTTACAAGTTTTTTTATACTATTTCCATTGCTCCAATGTTAACTAAAATTTATTCCAGAGAATGTGTCTTCTATAGATACTGAATTTCTCTTACAAGATCCTTAAAAATTTCAAGATATTTTTTGCCTCTTATTTAATACAATTCTGTCTGATAATATGGCAGCATAAAGAGGCAAACATGTGCCCTATTTGGTGCAGACCACAAGATCAAGAGTAAGGTTGCAGTGTTTATTTTGGTATCTGAAGAGGAATTTCAAATGACTTAAAATGTGTAAACTTTTGTGCTTTTTTAAAATGTACTTAAATGATTTTATTAATTGTAAGTTCTGTATTTGGTGGAATCTTGGGTTATAATTTTCCCTACCAGACAGATTTGAAAAGGGGCACGTGATAATACGTTAATATTAGAACACAGACCCAAATAAAACAAACTTCAAAATTTATAAATAAAAATGTACTACAGAAGAAAACAGTATCAAACCAACTTAAATATAATGGTCCATTCATTCAGTAGTAATCTGTCAGACAACAGGTCCAGTCTCTTCCAAAACAGTTCCTCCAGTAACGGTATTAAGTAGGAAATATACTAACAGAACAGTTACACTTTGTAGAATTATTCATAATACTGTAAAATATGGCATATCTGTAATTTGAGTCACAATACAATTCTTGTGTGGTTGTAAAACTAACTTACATGAATCAGTATTTCAACAGTTCATATACTTTCCAACTTCTAGTCTTCAAAATCTTGCACTGTTCTATTCAGCACCATATTCTTGACTGCAATACAAGTGAAACATGATGACTAATGCAGCATGTATGCACAGCTTCTTTCTAACCTTGGTGGTGAAATGTGTAATGACATGGCAAAAGAACAGTTACCTAGCAACTCTTCATCTAGTAATACTTAACATATCACCTTTGTAAGAAGAGCACCTATACCCATTAATTAAAATGAATCTATAGAAGAGAGAGCTGTTCACAATCACAGCCTATTCACTGCTATTCTTCTTGTTACTACCTTATAGAAGGGTAAGATCCCACCTGACAGGAAGCTGCACTGGAGTTAATCATGCCAATATGTTGGTAACATCTACTAACTATATAGCATCACATCTCAGAGTAAAGTAATCTTTATGATCACTGGTGTAAGGTAAAAAAAGGTAAAGTTGTCTCCTGTGCTTAACTAATTAAGCACTATGCATTAAGGTATATGGGGGAGTGGATGTATATAGATCCACATTTTCTTGACCTTGACACTACTTGGAGAAGAAGAGAAAATTCTTTATCCTACTGGGACTCAGACACCAACCCACTGGTCATCCAGCCTGTAGCCAGTAGCCATACTGACTGTGCTATCCTGGCTCCTTGTCACTGGTGTAAGAACCTCAAATTGAAAATGTCTTTTTGGTTGCCATATAACCATGCCTAAGTGTTCTGTAATTGTTGTGAACTTGTGTGCTGTCTTGGCTACAATGATGTTGATGTATTATGGTAACAGCTTCTAGTCATTCAGTACCATTTCCACTATTCACTTACATTTTTCCTTTTCAGATGTTATTTGTCAGCAATTTCAGTGTTAAGACTAGATCCTGTTGGATGATGGGAATGCTGATGAATGATAATTTGAAAGGAAACTGTCATAGCCTAATAAAGGTACTGCCCCAGCATTTGCTTGGAGGGAGTGAGGAATACCACAGAAAACTTCGATTAGGATAGTTAGTGTCCTGGCTGAGACTCAAACCTAGCTGCTACTGAATAAAAAGTTAGACCTAGTTGCTTGGTTTCACTTGTATGTTGTATGTGTATGTACATTTTATTTAATACTGTATTTCAAACGTCAATGTATAATTTGAATTGTTTCATATTTGGTCCGTTACACTATCAATCACAAATTGTCAATGAATAATCCGTCGAGTGTAACAACGTTCTTAGGTCACTTATTTATTTCACTCGCCTTACATGTTTCGGTTCAAAAGAACCATCATCAGAGGCACGTTACAAACACATGAAACCACTGGCGTTGTATTGTACACAGTATATAAGCTGCGTGATCTGCTAGAGATGTCGGAGTGTAAAAGCACAACACTTTCTAGTAACGTTGAATGCATGTACACCTCTTGCATTCCATCCAAAGAATGCTCTCAAATTGAGCCGTCAATGTTAAAATATTTAATCGAGAGT